ATATTACTTGTTTTGTAGGGCTTAAGCGTCAAATTAAAATTAATTTATCGTAGATTATCAATTCTAAGAAACTTAATAGATATACCTAATAAAAATAAATTGAATAGTAATCTTTAATACATAATATAAAGAAGTCTTGATATTAAGTTGGTATCTCGTGTCCTTTTATCAAAACACTTGAAGTATCCACATTGTTTTAACTCGTTTTAATTAAAAAACTAACATTATACTTTTAGCATGTCTTAAATTAAATACTTGGTACTCAGCTTTAAAAAAATAATGTTCCTACACTATAAATTAAAAAAAAATGTAATGGTTGTTCAAATTTCAAACGAATATTGTATAAAATAGTAATGATATGTATATATTTATTTTAAAAACTTTAAATTTTGTTATGCGTGTTCTTCCCAAGACTTGATAATGATACATGGCACAAAGATTAAAAAAATTATTACCCGATTTAGGTGCTGGCACAAGCTTGTACTGTTCTTATCTATCAGCAACCTTCATTATAACTGCTCAATAATTAACAATTCGATAGTTTTCGTGCAAGAAAACCAAGAAACCACGTTTGTGGACAGTATTGATACATAGTTGTTGAGCCGCACTACACTAGTATAATAGTCGTAGTTTAACACCTATAATATAAATACATAATATTAATTATATTACACAGATATAGACAATAAACTAGATTAGAAGGTTTATATATAATGCAAATCAAGTAAACATTTGAATCTGCCTTTACTAATAGGCCAATGCCCTTTGGTATCTTACAATGTCATAATTCCGAAAACAAACTTAAATTACTATTAAAATGTAAATTCTAATCTGACATAGAATTTATGCCTTTCAATTCACATTTTATTTCATTATTATTATTATTATTAATCGTCTAATTAATTTAAATCTTTGATGATAATCCATACATGATTTCATGCAGTTATGTAGATATTTTAGGCAAGCTATAACATTTATAAATATATATTATGTGCATTAAAATCATCAAATAGGTGTGTTATTATAATATATTTAATTAATATTGTATATTTATAATAATATTACATAATAGGTATAATTTATTTTAACAATTGTATAACTATTTATCAATAATAATTTCCAAATTAACATAATATTATACTTGCTTATTATTTATGTTACATTTTTAATATCTAGTTGCAGATGATGACACAAAATATATATTATAATTCATCAATGCTCCTGTACATTTTAAATAAGGCTCATGCTGTTCGCTATCGGTTGAAGACTTATTTATTTCCATTAACGTCTAAATAATTTACTTAAAAATGATATATGTTATTAGGGTTAGGTACCTATGGTATGCAATATTTATTGAATTATTGTTTTTGTCTAACATGTTTATTTAATAGATTCTTATGTATTATAATGTATTATTATATGCAATTAATTATTGTTCACATATTGTAAAATATTATCAATGTTTTGTAGACATAACTTAACCTTTTTCTATTCTCTTTTTATTAGTTTTACTTTTTTTCTTTTTATATTTACTTTTTAAATGTAGTATTTACATAGTATCTAAATTTCAATTTAAACAATATATTATTTACTTATTTGATCAATTAAACGAATCGTATTGCAATAAACGAGGAAATATAAAATGCATAAGAAGAATTCAAACATAAACCTGTTATAAAGCGGTATTTTAGCAATTAGGTAAGTTATGATTAAGAAATTGATATTTGTAACTCAAAATTTTTCAATTTTTATCTAATAATTAGGCTGAAAATTTTAATAAATACAATTTGTATTCTTTTATGTTGAACCCAAAAAAGTCTTGAAATTTTTTAACTTGTAGGCTAGAACATGTTGAACTTTTAATTATTGATGCCGAATCTATGATGTTTGTAAAAAATAATTCTTATACTTAACATCAATGTAATAGTTTATTTAAAACTAACTCTTTTCAATGGTCTATTTTATCAATCTTGAAGAAAGTAATTGTTTCTTAAAATAAATACCTTATTCATATGTGTTAATATTCTTTTACTAATATGGTACAAATGTTTCGGTGGAAGACATAAGCGCCAAAATTAGATAAGAAAAAATATAATCGTATCGTACAAAAACGCCAAAATCGTATCGTTTATAAATTCTCAACTGATTTATTAAATTTATATTTATTTGCATGTATATCATAATTTATTATTGACAAATATAAAGTTTTAATTTTGGCGCAAATTATTTGTAATTTTTGCACCTTTGGCGCTTATTTCACATGTTAGGTATACAATATTATATTGACGCTTATGTCCTACACATTTTGGCGCAATTGATAGGTCATTTTTGTGCATTTGGCGCTTTTGTCATATAGCCAAATGTTTTATACTAGATGAGTGTCAGGGTACCTTCTGAAAATTCTGTAGACAATTTCTTAGAACCTAAAATATCCTTGGTAAAGAACATTATTTGTTAAACACTAACTCTACGTTACATATTATATTATACAATCCTATACGAAGAATGACTAAGGCTAATTCTTTTTATAGCTTCAACCTAAAATTCCTTTTTATTTATCAGTAGAACATCTATTTTGTACAAATTATTATATTGATTCATATTTTTATTCCTTTTATAAATATTTAGACATAGGTAATTAATATACCTACTATTAATTAATATTATTAAACATCTAATCGCTTATTTTAAATGCAATTTTATTGGCCAATTAGTATTAAAAACTAGGTACTAGAATTTTCAACTAGACAATTAAAAAAAAAAAAAAAAATGAACACATTTTTTCTTTATAAATATTTAATATAATATATAGAATATTTAACAATATAATATATTAATAAAATAAATTACATAAAAAGTGCATGTAGAAATTTTAAAGTTTAATTATAAGCTTATAAGTTTAATACCTAGTGCATAACCTATACTCGATTTTCTAAATATATTATGTGTAAAATATAGGTAGTAGACAATATGATCAATATACAATTTTTTATTTAGTTCTATTAATTTTTTCTTAATTTAAAAATTCATAACATGAAAAAAGTTTTCCAGGGGTTAAAAACTATGATGCTTTCAACTTCTCAATGATTATTTTCTATAAAAAAGCATCTCAATAAGTTATGCGTGTTAAAAACAATAATTTTATTATTAAGGTTTTATATTATTTAATAATAATTAAAAAATTTAAAACAATTAATTTAAGTGTCTACGCTTATTTTTGGTTTTTTTCAAAAAAATAAATTTCCTAAACAACATATCTGAAAAAATGTTACATTTTTTTTTTATCTTTTATTTTTATTATTAAAATGTTTAATTTTTTAAATGACACCATATATTTTTAATTTTATATTCCAAATCAAAATATTGTTGAGAGTATTTCAGTATCTAAAAATTATATTTTGGACAAGTAGTTTGCTAAATATATATACTTGAAACTTAGATGCATGAAGTAGTAGACCAACAATTTGTAGATTAACATACGTACCGGTACCACTCTACTCCAATCATTAAAGCTTTAAAAACGTCTTAAGTTAAGTAATAACGTTATAATTTTACATTATCATATTGTCTCATTTAAAATTAAATGTTAATAAACTAAGAAAAAGTGAAATATAATCTGCTATGAAGTATAAAAATTTAAATTTAAAAGTAAAACTTAAAAATAATAATGATAAAAATTTGTAAAAGTTATGTTATAAAATGACAAAAAATTATGTAAAAAATATTTTTATAACAATGAGTTGACACATTAATGGATCATTCTGTGTGAATAACGTCATAGCATAATTTAAACAAAAAGTTCATTTCTAATAAAAAATATTAATTATAAATCAAAAGTGTATAATATTTCAACAAAATGCATTAACAATATTTTACTTTACAAAAATTTTTTTTATTTAACTTATAAATAAGCAACTATATACAACAATGATTATTACAATAATGAAAAATAATAAAAAAATAAATAAAAACAATTTAAACATTTATATTATTAAATCATAAATTAATTCAATTTTAGCAGATTTTCTGGATTCATTTGAAATACTCAAAAAAGTGAATTATAAACTCAAATCATATAACTAGTGTGTACGTTCATCTGTGTAATATTATATTTATAGTTCCATACATTCGCTACATGTGCACGTGATTTAGTCAAATTTGTTGATATGGACTAGTATTAACTGAGATTTATATTGTTCTCTTCTACATTAATTTAAAAAAATCAAGTATCTTTAATATTATTGTATTTATCAAAGCTGATAGTGTGACCAATCGAGATGATAGTTGACAGCTGAGGAAATAAGACTAGAGTGGGAAAAATAATTTAGAAGATAGGTTAAGCTAAATCGTTAATCAAAATACACTCATAGTAAAATAAAAAAAAAAAAACATATATTTAGTGCGATTACGCTTGATGAGGGTATATTGTATATTATTACTTAAATTACATTATTCATATAAAAAGAAATCAAAGATTCTATGGGCAAAACATAAATAATAAATTCTTGGAAAATGAGTACTAATAAGTCGTAACGTAAAACATTTAAGACCTATAACAACAAAAAACGAAATAAAAGTATAGAAAACCAATAAAAAACGATGAGAAAATTAAATTTATGAATATCCAAAAAATGTATTAAATTAAACAGAAACAAAAAGGAATTAAAAAATAACAAAAAACATAAAATAAAACAAATAAACTAAACTAACACATAGTATAAATTTTAGAAAATAAAAAAAACATAAAAACGTACAAAAAAAAAAAAATAAAAATAAAAGGATAATAACACATCTTTAAAAGTCAAAAAAAAATTAAACAGACTGTATTGTTATGTATACATAAAATAAAGATTAAAACTCTAAATAAAACACTTGGAATAAAAAAAGATATCAAAGAAAAAATATACAAATATCTGACTATAGCTTTAAAATTCAAAAGTAAAATTATAAATAAAAAAAATAAAATTAAAAATAATATTCTAAAATTTTCCTTATAAATGTTAAATATAATACGAAGAAACATAAGATGGAGAAATAGAAACATTCTTATTATAAGACTTACGAGAAAAGAAAAAAATAAGAATAACTAAAATAATAAAAATAACAAAAAAGAAAAAAAAACAACATAAATAAAAATCAGAACCTTTATAAAATGGTGGTATAGTTGTATAATCGGTAGTAAAATGTACTGTTGTGGAAGTAAAGTAGTCTGACACAGAAGTTTCTACCGATGATGTTGGAGTGTAAATTGATGTGGTTGAATCAGTACCGCCAGATAGTGTTGTATCATATTGAGTTGATACTGTTGGTTGTTCTGATGATGGAGAAGGATATTTTGATACAGTAGTTTCTCCCGATGATGTTTGTGTATAAATCGGAGTCGTTGAATCAGTACCACCTGATAATGTTGTATCATATTGAGTTGATATTGTTGATTGCTCTGTTTTTGTAGAAGGATATTGTGATACAGTAGTTTCTCCCAATGATGTTTGAGTATAAATTGGTGTTGTATCAGTAGCGCCAGATAGTGTTGTATCATATTGAGTTGATATTGTTGATTGCTCTGTTTTTGTAGAAGGATATTGTGATACAGTAGTTTCTCCCGATGATGTTTGAGTATATATCTGTGTTGTTGAATCAGTACTGCCAGATAGTGTTGTATCATATTGAGTTGAAATTGTTGATTGCTCTGATGATGGAGAAGGATATTGTGTTACAGTAGTTTCTCCCGATGATGTTTGAGTATAAATTGATGTTGTATCAGTAGCGCCAGATAGTGTTGTATCATATTGAGTTGATATTGTTGATTGCTCTGTTTTTGTAGAAGGATATTGTGATACAGTAGTTTCTCCCGATGATGTTTGAGTATATACCTGTGTTGTTGTATCAGTACTGCCAGATAGTGTTGAATAATATTGAGTTGAAATTGTTGATTGCTCTGCTGTGGAAGAAGAATATTGTGATACGGTAGTTTCTCCCGATGATGTTTGAGTATAAATCGGTGTCGTTGAATTAGTACCGCCAGATAGTGTTGTATCATATTGAGTTGAAATTGTTGATTGCTCTGCTGTGGAAGAAGAATATTGTGATACAGTAGTTTCTCCCGATGATGTTTGAGTATAAATTGGTGTTGAATCAGTACTGCCTGATAGTGTTGTATCATATTGAGTTGAAATTGTTGATTGCTTTGCTGTTGTAGAAGGATATTGTGATACAGTAGTTTCTCCCGATGATGTTTGAGTATAAATTGGTGTTGAATCTGTACTGCCTGATAGTGTTGTATCATATTGAGTGGATACTGTTGATTGCTCTGTTTTTGTAGAAGGATATTGTGATACAGTAGTTTCTCCCGATGATGTTTGAGTATATATCTGTATTGTTGATTCAGTACTGCCTGATAGTGTTGTATCATATTGAGTTGATAATGTTGATTGCTCTGATGATGGAGAAGGATATTGTGTTACAGTAGTTTCTCCGGTTAATGATGTTTGAGTATAAATTGGTGTTGTATCAGTAGCGCCAGATAGTGTTGTATCATATTGAGTTGATATTGTTGATTGCTCTGTTTTTGTAGAAGGATATTGTGTTACAGTAGTTTCTCCCGATGATGTTTTTGTATAAATCGGAGTCGTTGAATCAGTACCACCTGATAATGTTGTATCATATTGAGTTGATATTGTTGATTGCTCTGTTTTTGTAGAAGGATATTGTGATACAGTAGTTTCTTCCGATGATGTTTGAGTATATATCTGTATTGTTGAATCAGTACTGCCAGATAGTGTTGTATCATATTGAGTTGAAATTGTTGATTGCTCTGCTGTGGAATTTTGTAGAAGGATATTGGTGATACAGTAGATTCTCCCGGTGATGTTTGGTATATATACCTGTGTTGTTGTATCAGTACTGCCAGATAGTGTTGTATCATATTGGAGTTGAAATTGTGTTGCTCTGCTGTGGAAGAAGAATATTGTGAACTAGTTTCTCCCGATGATGTTTGAGTATAATGGTGTTGGGTAAC